TTTTTTTTTTTTTTTTGGTTGTTGTTTTTAGTGCGTGAGTGAAGAGTATGGACTTTGGAGTAGAAGCTATGAGCCTATGTGTAAGTAAAAGGCCGAAGAAAAAGTTTGTGCAAGACTTTTGGCGGTGGGCTTGCCATTTTATAGGGTCCAAATGTGTGAAGTTTATTTATTTATTTTTATTTTTTTAATTTAATTGTTAGGTTAAGAAATCAAATGCAAATGTTATTTTTGAAATTGGCTTTTTCGTTTCAATAGACGTCATGTGACTTATCAAGTGAAAATAAGAATGAAGTAAAAATAAAGAATGAAGTATGGGGAAATTCTACGGTCCTGTTACGGAATCATTCTATCGAGATTTATAATCGTTAGATCAACTATCCACGACGGTTACATGATGTTCTAACGGTTACAAATCCGGATAGAATGGTTCCGTAGCGAGATTGTAGCATTTTCCAGAAGTATGATATATTTTGGGATAATGTGACCTAATATATGAATTTCTAAATAACAATTATAAATTTTATAAATAACAATATATATACATTACAAATTCTTTTGTGAGACAACCTAGTGATCAGACGGGTACTTTGAACGAAAAAATATAGTTACAGTAAAAAGTATCATATTTTAATTTATATATTTTCTAAGATCACTACAAGAAAATGATGAAATTTCAATGGAAATATATTTAAATAGAATTATTCCAACAACATTTTCAATAGATATTTTAATGCTATTATTTCTGTTGGAGTTTTTTTCAATGAATTCCCAAAGAAATTTCAACGAAAAATTTCGTTGAAATCGGTTTTCATTGGAGTTTCCGTCGGATTTTGACGATTCCAACAATGGAATTTCCCACAGGGGTGGAAATAAAAATTCCAACGGAAATTGCATATTTCAACGGAAATTCCTACGGTAAAAAACCGTTGGAATCATAAAATTCATCTAAAATTCCAGTGAAAAACTCATTTCAACAGAGTTATATCATTAGAATATTCGTTGTAATATATTACCACATGTTGGAATTTAACATTTTTTTTTTTGGATGTATGTAAGGTAAAGTAAATAGATGGCAAATAAATAACACATGCTTTTGCAAATGGTAAAATTGATATGCAACTGAAGTTGGCGGTGGTTTTTATATATTTCAAATGATAATTACGTGCACATATGATTTTTTTAATGGTTGCTAAAAATTAAAATGATCACAAGTTTTTTTTTTAGGCATGAATTGATAGAAAAAAAGGTTTTTTTTGGTCTTTTATCTGCAGGCCGGTTTCAATTTGGTCCTGTAAATCGATTGTTTTTGGAAATAGTTCCTAACTGAAAAAAAAATTAGCTTTTTGGTCCTCTGACCGCCTATATCAAGTCATTGTGACCGGCTGAGTTACGTGGAAATTCGCCCAATTTTTTTTTTTTTTGCTGAGTTGTAATGCCACGTGGCGCTTATGTGGAATAGTTGCAAAAAATGTGC